AGCTATGTGTTAGCATAGTCACATAATCTCTCTTCTCTTTTTGAATTTCCATATATCACTATAGAGTTTATTTTCTCACTAATCACTGCAGTTTCTTTATCGTTTTAGCCAAAAGGGCAGCTAACTAGTTGTCATGTTTATGGAAGATTCTTCCAGTCTTCAAAGCGTCCTAGGTATAATACCTAGGCTGACTTAAAAATATCATTCTTGGGCTGGGTATGGTGGCTCGTGCTTGTAATCTCATCACTTTAGGAGGTTAAGGCAGGTGGATCTTTTGAGCCCTAGACCAGCCTCAACAACATGGCAAAACTCCATCTCTACAAAAAATACAAAAATTAACTGGGTGTGGTGGTATGCACCCATAGTCCCAGCTACTCTGGAGGCTGAAGTGATCTTCCCACTTCAGCCTCCACTGAGCCCAGGTGGTTGAGGCTGCAGTGAGCTGTGATCATACCACTGCACTCCAGCCTGGGTGACAGAGAGACCTGTCTCAAAAACAAAATACAGTAAGTATCATTCTCAATACTTTTTATAATTCTGATGCCTATCTCACCGCCTGAATATATCAGTGTATTAAAATGTGTCACAAAATAATGAGAGGAAGATGAGTGTAGGAGCAGGATACTGTCCTTAGAAACAGAACTTGGAACTTTGAGAAGTTGGGAATCTCTGGAAAATAAACGAAGACCAAGACCAGCTAATAGGAAATCATTTGCTTGTTTGTTTTTGGAGGTACTTTTCTTGATTTATTTATTTGTGGGTTTTTTTAGTATCAAATTTTTATTAGCAGGATTTTATGCAATGAAAAAAATAGGGCAATACTTCCACCTTGCTTTCTTAGTGGATGGAAGAAACAATATTATTTCTCACTTTGACTGATATATATATGTTTTTCAGGCTAATAAGCTGAGGTCTAAAATTAGAGCTGTAAGAAAAAAGAATAGAGGGAGTCAGTTCTTCTGAGGTGTTTAGATGAGCTCAAATTTTGGGCTGACTGACTTTAGCAATGGGATTTTAGGGATGACTAAAATGATTGGATAGACTGTAATAATTCAGCAGGACATTTGGAAACACATTTGGCCAAATTCTAAGGATCAGTGGCCATAGGTATCACATTGATGTCACGCCAGTTACCCCAGAGAAGAAGGGTTTTATGGATGCGGTATTACAGTTGGCATAGGTACCTGGAGTATTTACATATGGCTGAATATTTCATTTTATTTTTGTCAATTTAAAATGAGGCCTGAAGCAACACCAAAAATAGACAAATGGGACTTATGCACAGTGAAAGAAATAATCTGCAAAGTAAAGAGACAACCTGTTGAATGGAAGAAAATATTTGCTAACTATTCATCCAACAGAGGACTAACATAAAAAATATACAAAGAACTTAAACAACCGAAGAACAAAACCCAGATAATCCTACTAAAAATGGGTAAAGGGCATGAATAGACATTTTCTCAAAAGAAAACGTACAAATGGCCAACAGGTATATGAAAAAAAATTGCTGAATGTTGCTAATTATCAAAGAAATGCAACTCTATACCACAATGAGATATCATCTTACCCCAGAGTGGCTGTTATTACGGAGACAAAATATAGCAGATGTTGGCAAGGGTGCAGAGAAAAGGGACTCTTGAGCACTGTTGGTAAGAATGTAAATTAGCACAGCCTCCATGGAAGGTAGTACCTTCCATGGAGTTATCTCAAAGAACTAAAACTAAACTACCATTTGACCCAGCAGTGCCACTACTGGGTATCTACCCCCCTAGAAAAGAAGTCAGCATATCAGAGCCAGGCGTGGTGGCTCACGCCTGTAATACCAGCACTTTGGGAGGCCAAGACTGGTGGATCACCTAAGTTTGAGAGTTGGAGACCAGCCTGGCCAACATGGTGAAACCCCATCTCTACTAAAAATACAAAATTAGCCGAGCATGGTGGCACATGCCTGTAATTCCTGCTACTTAGGAGGCTGAGGCAGGAGAATCACTTGAACCCTGGAGTCAGAGGTTGCAGTGACCTGAGATCACACCATTGCACTCCAGCCTGGGCAACAAGAGCAAAACTCTGTCTCAAAAAAAAAAGAAAAAAAGTCAGCATATCAAAAAGATACTTGTAGTCATATGTTTATCACAGCACTGTTCACAATAGCAAGGATATAGAGTCAATCTAAGTGTGCACCAAGAGATAAATGGGTAAAGAAAATGTAGTACATATATACAATTAGATATTATTTAGCCAGAAGGAAAAATGAAATCCTGTCAGGGACAGCTGACTAATGGTCATTTGCAGCAAGAAATGGAGGTGATTATGTTAAGTGAAACAAGCCAGGCATAGAAAGACAAATAGCACATGTTCTCTCTTATAAATAGGTGCTGAAAAAATGTGTTCACATATAGAGAAGTGGATAGATAACGGAGACTTGGAAGGGAAACAAAATGGTGGTGGGAGAGGGGAGGCTGATCAGAAATTGATTAATGGGTACAGTTTATCTTATTTGGGTGATGGATACCCTAAAAGCCATGACTTGACCACTGTGCAACCTATGTTGGTAACAAAATTGCACATGTACCCCATAAATTTGTACAAATAAAAAGGGGAAAAAATAGCTCATAGGAGCACGAACCCTATTGAGAACTGCACATGCAGGGGATCTAGGTTGCATGCTCCTTAGGAGAACCTAATGCCTGATGATCTGAGGTGGAGCTGAGACAGTGATGCTTGTCGGGGTCCAACCCACAGTCCATGACCCAGCGACAGATGAACAAATGCACTCAAACACCGATATTCAGTGAAAAAGCTACCTGAGGGGTCCATGGTCACTTGTAGACACTCGAGGAGAGTGCTGTCAAGAGTTAGCAGCTGCACCCTGGCTTGCTGGCCTTGCCGGCCTTTATTCAGCGTATGTTAAATGACAAAGGCTTTGAGTCAACACCATTAGAGGGTAACAAATAAAGGCCAGGTTCTGATGCCTAAAGCAACCACCATTTGTGGGTAATAAGCCTGGTTGCCCTCCCCCCAAGAGAGCCATCTGCTGGTGAATGATTAAAGGTTAGTTTTAGGACCACATGAGTAAACAAGTTATTTAGATAAACTCCCTTACATTTCTTTGTTATTTACCCTTGCTCCTAGCTCAAAGTAAAGAGGATTAGGCTGCCTTCAGCTGTAACTCTATCCTGAGGCCTTTGAAAAACCTTCTGGCCTTTCAAGAAGGCTTGTGACTATTTTTTATAACTTTCTTTATAATTTCTCTTACAACTCTTCCTACCACCCTGAGTGAACCCCCACAGATGCTAGCACTGGGGAGTGGCTGCAAATACAGGTTAACATTGGCAGAGAAGTTTGACTGCACAGAGACCATAATCAGCTGCTTTCAGACTCATATCAAAACCCTATCAGTGAGTGGCAGGTGACAATTAAACTGCATCTGGTGGCAGGCTTTATAGTAGCAAGTGAGCTGCATCTGGTGGCAGGCTTTAAGTCAGAATCTGACATTTATTTTAGTCTGTGCATGACCTGCCCACTATTTTATTTGCCACCTCCATCTGGTCCTCTTTTCCCACACTGCACACTTGTCTCACTGACAGTTTTGTCAGCCCACAAACTAACCCTAGCCAAAATGAGTAAAAAGCAAGAATTTCTTTGAAAAGTAGGAAAGACCCAGTGATAAGACAGCAGAAGTCTCTAAGACTGCCAACAAAAAGAAAGCTGCATTTAAAAGAAAATACCAAGAGTTCCACTTAAATTACACATTCACATCCTCCAAGCCCTCTTTGTGTGTATGGCAACCGGCTATCCAATGGAAACCATGAAACCTTCAAAATGGCTTTGCCAAGTGGAGACCAAGCACCCTGCATTAAAAGACAAGCCTTTGGAGTTTTTCAAAAGAAAAAAACGTGAACACAAAGAAGCAACCACTTCAAATGTGTCTTCATTGAGAGCATCATTCTTAGTAGCTAACTGCATTGCTAAAGCTGAGAAGCCCTTTATTATAGGTGAAGAGTGATCCTACCTGCTGCTAAGGACATTTGTTTTGAACTTTTAGGAGAGGCTACAGTTCGGAAGGTGGCACGTGTTCCTCTTTCAGCTAGCACTATAAGTCGTTGAATTGATGAAATAGAGGATATTGAGGCACAATTGTTAGGATTAATGAGTCACTGTGGCACTCATTCTAGGTTGACGAATCTACTAGTGTTGACAAGGCAACAATGCTTGTTTTTGTGTGATATACTTTTCAGGAGGATGTGCATGAGGATATGTTATGTACACTTTTGTTGCCAGCCAGTACCATAGCTGCAGAACTGTTAAAGTTTTTGAATGATTACCTATCAGGAAAACTGAATTGGTCATTTTGTGTCAGTATATGCACGCATGGAGTGGCCGCCATGAC